GTGTGTGTGTGTGTGTGTGTTGGTGCGTGCCGTGCGTGCATGCATGCGTGCGTGCGTGGTGTTTGTGCGTGCGTGTGTGGTGTGCGTACGTGTGTGTGTGTGTGTGTGTGTTTAAATGTGCGTGCATGCGTGTGTGAGGATGTGTTACTTGCAAGCGTTACCGTGCCCGTGTCAGCGAGCGCCCGAGTGCTTGAAAGGGCTCGCCGCGGGGCAGCGAGAGACTGCGTGCGTGCAGCCCCGCCAGGCACAAAGATCACGAGCAGAAGAGTGCCGGCACATCTTTTCACGATCACAAGACTCAAGTTCAGGTATGAAGGCGAATCGCGCTGGTATGAGAGAGGAATTAATAAAGCAGGTGCACCCGAGGCAGCCCCGTCAAGATGGATATTTTACAAGAGAGTTGTTTGCTTTGAGTCGGTCTATATATAGTTGGTGTATCGAACAGCTCCCTGTGGTCTCGAAGGTGCGAGGTGGCGGGGAAGGGAGGGGTCGTGATGTAGATTCAAAGAACACTTTCAAAATATATGAGACTTGGCATGTTCTTCTCAAAGAACATCTACAAATCAAACGAAGAGGGAGAGAAAAAAAACAGGTGGTGTATCCGATCATGTTTTTCGTGTCTCCGCATCGCACTTTCATCTTTCGTCTTATAGGCCTATAAATATGAGGTGGGGGGGGGGGAGGCCGGACGGTGAGTGTAGGTGGGGCGGAGGAGAGAGGAGGGAGGAGGGAAGAGTCTGGAGAGAGAGAGGGGAGGGAGGGGCGGGAGAGGGAGGAAGAGGTAGGAAGAGAGGAGAAAGGCACGTAGGGTGTTTATGGAAGGGTTCAGGAAGAGGAGACTCCAGCGGAGGTGTTGGAGGGTGATAGTGAGTGGTCGAAGATGCCATATATGGATGATGGAAGGTGTGGGATGAGGGAGGGGGGGGGAGGGAGGGAGGAGGGAGGGTGCACAAACCCGGCCTCTGCTAAGGGTGTGTGTGACCTAAGCACCGCCCGCAGGATCTCCACCCTAACCCCATATGCCACTACAAGCTTCCTCATCCCCTACCCCTTGACCAGCCTTCACCCTCCTCCCTTCTCCTTTTCACCCATCACCCTTTGCCCTCCCCCCGCCCCACCCCTCTCCCCCTCTTCCTGTCGCTCATCTAAGGTAATGAGTCATCTTGTCTCTGCCGCTGACCTTTAAACGAACTAGAGGAGGGGAAAAAAGCCCCGTGGATAATTATCACTGACATCATGTTACCAAGATGCTGGAGACATCAGGGAAAAAGGGAAGAGGAGGAAGAGGAGGAGGAGGAGGAGGAAGGCGAAGACGAGGAGGAG